CACAATATCATCGCAGATGAAAATCATATTCTCGATTGATGAAGATATTAATGCAAACCTTTTATTAGCACACATGAACGCCCGACCAAAGATGGCGGTGAATATAAATCTGACAGACGACACCACACTATCGAAAATAATATTTCTAGACAATGTTAGAAAAGAAACATATAGATAAAATTGAAAACACCGATGAAGAATGCATCTTTTCCATTGTTGTCTATAGTGATAATATATGAATTGTTTCTTAATTATAAACTTGTGTTTAGAAGTAATGCTAGCTATTTTTTTAAAAGAAAAAGTAATGCTAGCTTGAACACTAATCCATTAATGAGAACTGATAAGTAATGTTTGGAAATGATTGAACTCATCTACAAGCCCAGTACGTCCGGAGATCTAAAACAAGAAAAACTTTGTCAAAATAAAATCTAAGGCAAGCTATATAGTTTTTTTAAAAGTATCTAAGCTATGTAGTTGTGTAAAGCTCTAGAAGGATACAAATTGTAACGGACAAACAGACTTTACTACCTAATTACTTTTATAATTATTATTTATATACTCCTTTAATTAATTATAATTGGAACTTCTTCAAAAGGGGAAAACTACGCTCCCAAGTTCAGTCAAAATAAGGTTACTGATTACTCTTTAAAGCAAACAAAAAGATTCATATGCATATATCTTATTATTAATTACACACTTCTTTAATTAATCATTATATTAGCAGTGAATTGATTACAAAACCGAGGGAAAGTCATATATGCCTTAGTTTAGCTGCTTTATTAATTAAATCCTAAATTTTCTAGCTTGCATTTTAACAGACTTGCTCAGCAACCATATAAGACTATTTATTGAGCTGTGAGAAAAAGCTTGTCTCCAAATAATTCTAACTTACTAACACACAAAACATATGAATCCCTAAATTATTTCAAATAGCATGTCTGTTTTCACATTTTTGTCTGTACGAGAAATGATATCTCCCTTCGTCAAAATTGATTTGCAAAGTCAACAATTCTTAGTCAATCATTGTTAAAGTTAAATCATCTCCATTTTTAATTAACTCAATTGTTAATGATTAAAATTTACATATTCGGAAACTACATATATCTTCAAAGTTGCAAACTCTAGATTATAGTATAATTAATAATTAGTATCCTAATTAAGTGAATAAAATGAAACTATTCGACCAAAAATGTCAATTTTGCAAATTAATTTGGAACAGAGGTAGAATATAATTTGGTGAAATTTTATAAAATGAATGTAGATAAAAGTACAGTTAAATACTCACTACATTAGGTTGGACACATTATTTAAGAAGTAAAGTAGCGGGGGTAGTGAATAATGTAAAAAAAGTAGGAGGAAGTGTGTAAAAGTATGAAAGAGAACATAAAAAGTAGATAAAATTATTGTAGTTGAGTATTTTATAAGAGTAAACTTTTAAATACGGAGGGAACATGAACAAGCCAATGACTTTGAAGGTCAACACTTCTGGTCTACAAGCTGAGAGATCATATTATAATTTATAAGCTGATTTCCGCCGACCGTCGAAATACCATAACTAAGGAACAATAACCAGCAGCCGATTGTAGGTGCAAAGGGGGAAAGGCTGAATAACAAGAAAAAGGGGAAAAAGGTTAATGATAAGAAATTAAAGCAAAGAATTCAATTGGGTGGACGTGGAATTACACGAACAAAAGCACACGAGATTAGTAAAAATTAGCTCTGTTCGAACCCACTTGAAGTTGTTAGCAACAAAGGAGAAATGAAAAGTTAACGGAAGTTTAAAGAGGTGAAGACTAACGGAAAAAACGTTAGAATATAATTTAAGGGGTACAATGTTTTAAAATGAATGTACAATCCAATCTAGCTCTATTGTACCACCAACACATTTCATATACCCAAAGAACCCTTACTCTCATTCACTTTTATAAGTTTTTAGATATTATCTTTTATTTACCAGCCACTAAACTGAACTTAAACCCAATTTTAAGATAATGAAAAAATCGCTAAAACTGAAATTGTTGCACAAAAAGATACCAGGTGATTATTCTCTGAAGCTATAAACATCATTGTGTGCACAAGGTATAATGATAATTATTCAAGGCACAAGCTAGACTTCAAATGCATCAAACACAAAATGATCATATTTAAAAAATAGATGAAAATTAGGCAGAGATGAGATCATCATTACAGATACATGATCCAGGTTCCATTAGTACGTGTACAACGTAGTGAACGGAAAATCCTATATCATAATAACAAAATACTAAAATAGTTTGTGAGGATGCATGGTTATTATCCACACTTTAATTATAATTAAAGCACTTTTATGTAAAAGGTCAAGAAAGCCTCACAGGCGGTGTACCAGCTCCTCAATAACATACCATGTACTTTGTTCCTGCTTTGGGCGTCTACTTTTTAGATTATAAGATTTCATTAGATAATTTTTTAGCTATTATATAGGATAGCATTCATTGTCCTAATTCATTTATCTTTTTGCTCGCTGGATAATTATATTTTTCATGTTCGTATACATGAAACACAAAAATATTCTAAAATCTCATGTAGATATTCACAAACACCTGGTATGCTTGAAGAATTTTTATTTGACCTCCAAAAATTAAGTTCATACAAACACTCAAATATTACAAGAAATATTAGTTAAGCTAATTTACACCAACCAAACATGATCGAACATTCAGATAAACTCCACACTTGCTTCTAGTACCATCTATTCATAATTAGCAAACCTTACGTTCATTCTCATAATCTATAGAATTGGTGGCAAATTCTGGAGGTTGCATAAATAAGGCGTGACGTACCACAAATGTCGGGAAGTCGTGAAGGTAAGGCATCTAGCAATTCCACCGTCTTTCCCCGTTTTTACCATCCTGCTTGTCTCCCACAAGCCTGATACTCTTCTCACCTAGAAGAGTAGTATATCTAAAAACTTATAAGCCTGAATGAGGGTTATACCCTTTTGGGAATTAAAAAAGTGTTGGTGGTAACAATGTGCTCAATGCATTTGGACATTATGCTTTTAACTTTGAACAAGAACATAATACCGAATAACCTTGTGTTACTGCGCCTTACCTCGTTACTCTGGCTTCAGTTAGCTCCCTAATATATTACCATACCCAGATATACTAATTCTCGTTGGCTTCTTGGTTTTCATCCCGTTTAATCTCCTGGTTTCATATATGGTTTGGTTGAAAAAGATGAAATCTATCGCAAGTTTGAGCTCTATGACCAAACCATATACGAAACCAGGAGATTAAACGGGATGAAAACCAAGAAGCCAACGAGAATTAGTATATCTGGGTATGGTAATAGATTAGGGAGCTAACAGAAGCCAGAGTAACGAGGTAAGGCGCAGTAACACAAGGTTATTCGGTATTATGTTCTTGTTCAAAGTTAAAAGCATAATGTACAAATGCATTGAGCACATTGTTACCACCAACACTTTTTAATTCCCAAAAGGGTATAACCCTCATTCAGGCTTATAAGTTTTTAGATTTTAGCTGTTTTTTTAAGATTGTCATTGTTGAAACACATTGACATTTTTAATAAAATGTGACATTTTATATATAGTACTTTTTACTATCACCTGTAAAAATCTTATTTCCTAGAACGACATTTATATTTAATTTCACATTCTACGGATAGTGTGACATTTTTAATTGATTTGCTTTCACTCTTAGACCAGACCATAATTAAATACAATAGAACAAATATAAAATAATTTAAAGGGTTTTAAATATGCTTTTAGTCTTAAGAAATGTAGTACATTTTGTTTTAATCCCTGCAAATAATTTTTCTTGAAAGTCATATTTTTATCTTTTATTCTTATTTTGGTCATATAAAATAAATTTTTTACTACCTCCGTCCCTCTAATATTGGAACGGAAGGGAGTGGTGTTGTTTTTAAGATAAGTGAAATTATGTGTTTGATAATGATTTGATAGTGAGAATAAAGCACAAATGAATTAGAGCGACACAAATATTACTAAATATGGTGTGAGACAATTTAGTGGGACGGACGGAAATAAGAAAAACGGGACAATTGTACTAGGATGGATAGAGTGTTTATTTAATGCCAATAATTCATATCGATGTTGGAAATAAAAATGTAGCTTAATAAACCATCAACTTTTTTTTTTAATTTTTATATATGCAATATTGATGTCAAATGAAAGATCTTGAAAAATTATAAAATTTGATGAATTTTTTGTAAAAATTGAAGTAAAAAAGAAAAAGTTATAATAAGGGCCACGTGGCATCTGTATAATAAGGGAGTGAAAATTTGGTTGCAGGACCCGTATGTTCTTTGAGGATAAAATTATCATTCTATGAGCTACTCCGTATATCTCTTTTTATTTTATATATTCCCTCCGTTCCTTAAAACTTTGTTATCTTGCCTTTTTGGGCGTCCCAAAAAACTTTGTCACTTTATCTTTTAATCAATTATTTTGTGGTTTCTGATATTTCTCTCTCCTCTACACAAACTTTAACCACATGGCATCTGTACAACCAAAATTTCACTCCCTTATTTCACTCCATTTTTTCGGTATGTATAAAGAGCCATATGGCATCTGTATAATAAGACAGTGAAATTTTGGTTGCAAGACCGTATGCTTCTTTGAGGATAAAATTATCATTTTATGAGCTATATCGTATCTTTAATACGTAGTATAAAATAGATTCCATCAAAAAATAAATTCATGGAATGACGGGGGATACTAGAATTTTGATAGAGCTTTTAAACTTCAAGTTGAGGACACCCAATTCTCGTGGAATTCTAATTTCTATCTAAATCAAATTGTTGACACCTCACTAAAATAAGAAAAGTAAAAATTGTGTAATGAAATTTGTATAAAATAAATAAATAAATTAATTAATCACAAATTTATCTTCTTCTTTTTTTGGAAAACACGAAATTGTCATTTTAAAAAGAAAAATTGAGAAAGTTTTGAGAAAGAAATGGAAAACTAACGTTGGCAAAGTGAGGGGTATAAGAATCCGTATGTCGCAATTCATACTACAACTAGGGTTTCTGCTGTCACTTCTTCGGCAGAAATATCTTCCGATCTATAGTTTTCACGATCGATCTTCACCGCCTAATGAAGAAGCGATCTAGAGATTTCAAACCCAAACCTGAAACTCTCATCCTCGACGCCGTTACTCCAGGTCCTGCCCTCATCAAGCACTTAGCTTCCTGCAACGCCCCCGTCCGATCCAAAGCGCTGAGGTTGCTCGAGGTATGGCTGCTGAGTCAATCTGAAATAGCCGACGACGATATGAAAAAGTTCTGGAAGGGACTCTTCTATTGCCTGTGGCATTCCGATAAGGCTCCTGCCCAATCTCATCTCATCAACCGCGCATCATCACTCGTACTAAATCTTGATCTTTCTCTTGCCTTGAATTATTTCTCTGTTTTTCTCGTCTCTCTGAAACGTGAATGGATTGGGATTGACCGCTTGAGGCTCGATAAATTTTACTTACTTGTTAGGAAATTCATTTACTCAATTTTCTCTCTATGCAAGAAACATAGCTGGAATGTGGAGCTTCTAACTAGAGTTGTCGATATTTTTATCAATAATGCATTTTTAGCAGAGGATAAGTTGTTAGGTAATGGAGTGTGTTATCACATCGTTTCGGTTTGGCTTGATGAGTTGAGTGGTTGTTCTGTTCCTGTTGACAGTGATGTTGTTGGGTATATCTTTAAGCCGTTGTTTGAAGTGATTAAAAGGTCCGAGGATAGGGTATTGGTTGGAAAAGTGAAGAGCTGTGTATTTGATAAATTGTTAAACTCGGGAAAGAGTTTACTGGAGAAGAAGATGAATGGAGCTGAAAGCAATGAAAGCTATGCAGAGGTGGCTCTTGGTTTGATTTCAATGAAGATGGGCTTTTCGTCAATGCTTTTTGAGATTGGTTCATCTTTGGAATGTCATCAGGGAAACAGGAAAATTATTTTCAAGTTACATGATGAGTTCTTGAAATTGGAGAACCTATTTGAAACCTCAAGGGTTCACATTGTGCTTCCCAAGGTTCCTATTCAAGAAGAGGAGATTCCCAATATGGTTCCAATTGAGAGCAGTAAGACAAATAAAGGTGATGCATCTGATGGTCAAACGGATGAAAATTCTAGAAAATGCAAGAAGGCTAAGATGATGAAGGTTGTAAGCAACAAGATTGGTAAGAAGAAAGAAGAGAAAAAACGGGCTTCTCAGGATTGCTCCCTAATCACGGAAACTGTTTTTTCACCTAGATTTATGGAGAATTCAAAACCAAGTAAAATTAAAAAGGATTCTGAAAATGCATTGGCAGGTGAGACCATAAAAGACAATCCTGTGGTCGAAAGTGTGGTATTCACTGAGACTGTCATTTCAAATCTACAGATGCAGTTTGAGAAAGTAGCTACCGAAGTTGGTGATGGTGAAATCAATAAACCTAAAATTCCTATGAAAATCAAAAGAAAGAGTGGAAAAACTGTCAATAACATAGAGTCATGTATCGTCCACTTACACAATGTAGGAGATTTTGCTGTTACTGCTGCAAAGAGTGAAGAGAAGAGGTCAAAGAAGGTTAGGTTTGCAATGAAGAACAACTTGGTTTGGAAACCACACTGCCCATTGCCTCCACAGAGTTTGAGATTGCCACCCTCTTCTACCCCACGGGGCAGTGCCCTTAAGAAGGGTGTGCCCCCAGGCCCAGTAAGAGAGATGCCCTCTGCATCAAAGAAGAGGAAGCTGAAAAAGAAAGGCCGAAAGATGCTAAGCACCATCTCCCCTGCAATGAAGAGACTGAAAAAACACAAAGCTTCTTCGCCATAGTTGGGGAATTTTGGGTTTGAGCATTTTATTGTATTTGGCTATCCATTTGAAAGGTAATTGTTTTTTCCTTGATTTTTGCACTCTAGTTGATGAAAGTAGTAAGATTTTGAATTTGAATTTCCTTTGTTTGTTTCATTTGAACTTCATTTATCTATCTGAGTGAAACTATTTTGATAATTCATTTCTCATAAAGCAGAATGTGCAGTTTGTTTGGCATTAATAATGGGCTAAAAACAGGAGAGAAAAATGTATAGTAGAAACAAGCTTAGCTTGCGAACTGGGTTTTAACTTATGCAATGGGGAGGTCAATAGGGAATAAACTGAAATTTGGGATTATTCACCCAAGCAAGGGTGTAGCTAGAGCATTGAGTTGGACTGGGTTGGTTCATTTTGAAAAAAATTACACGGAATTTTTTGCACTTATAATTAAGATATTTTTTTTTAATTTGAGATAGATTGGGGCCTAGGTTGGGCCTCCCCTAGCTCCCCTGACCCCATGTTATGTACTGCACTCCAAGTCTACAAGACTGCAACCAACATTTACACGAGTGAGTAAATGGGTACTACCTCCGTAACGTAAATATCTTCCCACTTTCCTTTTTTGGACGTAACACTAATATCTTCCCATTTTTAAATCTTCCCATCATACCCTCAATAATTTTAAAAATAATACACTATTACACCTACTTTTTTTGGATTTATCCTTCGTTCCATCACATTATTTCACTATCTTCCCATCATACCCCTAATAATACATATCTTATTTCACTATTCTTAATCTAACTACTTTTCAAATGGGAACATCCCAATGTTACGGAGGTAGTATATTGATCATTGGGTGGTAATATCTGACCATATTCACCTCTTTTCAGTCCTGCGTCAGAGAGAACTCCTTGCAATGAGTATGTTCAAACTCTATAGTCATGGAGCTGGTCCCGACACTGGTGAGTTCACGGGACTGGACCGGAACCGAAAAACACAATTCAGGTAGAAAACCAGGACTGGACCCATGCTGCACGGATGCCGGTCTTGGGTTTGAATAATGGGGAATGGAATCGGCTGGTCCCCAACGGTTTTCTTTTTCTTTTGCTTTTTTCCTATTGGCCTTTCTAATAGAGCTGTTAGGGGGGGGGGGGTGGCCCCTTGCTCCAACTGCTCTGAGGGCCCTTGAAGGGGCTTGAAGAGTTGGAGGGTGTGGCCGTGTGGGGTTTGGGGAGGACAGTTTAAAATATTCTACAAATACCTCTAATTTTTCCCATTTTTTTACACTAACTCTTCAAAACCTTAACACTAACCTTCAATATCTCCCTTGCTATGTTAGGATGTTTTTACTGGTTTTGCGTCCCAGACCAGACTTAAACACACCAGACTAGAGCAAACTTAAACAGATCAGACCAGATTTAAACAGACCAGGTCAGACTTGACTTCCATAGTTATAAAACACAGAGACCAGACGTTTACCAGACTAGACTTAAACATATCAGACAGACCAGATTAGACTTAAACAGATCGGACCGGACCAGCAAATTACCGTCCAAGTAAAAACATCCTTAGCTCATTATGTTTTCAATAAAAATGCATTGAACGGTATGTTTGAAGCACAATATTATTATTGTCGGAAAATTTTGTGCTTGGGTAAATAAGAAAGCAACAATTATGATACACTGCGTTGACACATCTTTACAGAGCACTCAACAGGCAACACTCTTTGATGCCAACAATGAACAAGAAGTCATGTGCTCGCTTCTTAATTATTGAAATGTTATGACTTGTGCACCATTTCATATTGATTAAGACTATGCATTGCCATTGTAGTATGTACTAATTTTAGTGTTGATATTTGCAATGTTTGAAATTTGCTAGGTCTGGGATTGAGTTGTTTCTTAGAGAAAACAAATGGAACCATTTAAAGAGTCTCAATTTTTAATATCAATTCAGTTCTTATTAATTATTCTTATTTGTAGAACCGATATGGAAAACCAAATCATAATGGTTCGGTTCTTATTATTTCCAGTTCCTAATCACTGCTAAATTTGTGCCACATAAAGACATTGAACGTTTGATATTATAAGCAATACAAATATGTTCAAAATTACCATCATTTCAAGGCTCAAAAGTTAAATCTCAAACATGAGTACATAACAAATTGAAAACTTTAGTAAAGAAAACAAAAAAGAAATTCATTATAATAGGAACTGTTAATATCAATTTTTCAAGGCCTCATATAAAAGACAAAAATATTAATTATTTTAAAATTTTCAAAAAAATGACATATTTAGTTACTAGTTTCTAGTGACTCATCATCAATTATGACTTATCAAAATGAATTACACTATAATGACTTTTGTACAGTTATTTGTACACAGTGACTAATCATATTTTTGTTAAAAAACATTAGTCATATTTTTTCTGGGAAAGTTTGTTAGTAATATACATGTCATTTTTTCATTTATCAACTCTACTAACTAAATTGAATTAGTTAATTTAATATAAAAATAAAGAAGAAAATAAATATTCAAATATGCGTAGTATATACTAATAAGTAATGCATAAAACTTAATTATTATATAACGATTCGTTTAACGGTTTCACATAAGAACCGAGAAGTGAACCGTTAATAAAAATAGAAATCGAATTGTTAATAAATACGTATTAATTAATTAATGTTGGAATCGAGTAGGATTGGATCATAATGGTTCGATTTTCTAATTCTAGATTCCAAAGTCTAACCCCTAAAATTCGCAGGTTGTTGTAAGTTCTTATGTTTTGCATTCGAAATCCAAATAATATAAGTATATAACCTTGTGGACTTGTGTTGGTATGTGGGTAATTTGTTATTTAAATTTGATTTACATAAGCCTAGATTATTTCGTAAATAATGCACACTTCGAAAGCATGAATATGGACCAGTTTGGGCCGGTCCTAGGCGGGGAGGGGTGGGATTGTGGGAACCGGATCAGTTCCAGTCAATCAGCCAGTCCCGGTCATTTTTAAAGAATGAGAATTTACCCAAAATAGGACAAAAAAGGTTTGAAAATTCCAAAATAGGACTGTCATGTTTTTATTCCCAAAATAGGACTAATTATTGTCATGTTTTGGCAGTACCAGACTTCAAACATGACAGTATTTTCCAAACTTGGCAGTAATTACTCCTATTTTGAGAATAAAAAACATGACAGTCCTATTTTGAAATTTTCAAACCTTTTTAGTCCTATTTCGGGAACTTTCCCTTAAAGAATAAGTATTCGGGCAATTCTATTTACTATATAGAGCCACCTATTTTTTTAATTCCCATTACATCCTTATTACGTAACCTAACGCAGCCTCAACAAATCCAAAGCTTCACTTTCTAATGGCAATCATCAATTTGGATAAAGATGGTTGCTCCCCATTCCATAAAATAATTGACCATAAATCTCCCCAGTAGAACTTTCCTTCTTCATTGCAATCTAAAGTGACTGGCTACTTTGAATGCATAACACCAACATAGTCTTTCGCAATGGGATTTTCTTCTGATTTGGGAGCTTCTAATTATACATACACACATGTACAGTCGTATAGATATAAAATTACAAAAATAGTACAATGATGATTAGGAAATACTTTGGATTTGGACTCCTTCCCCCAATTTTGAGGGTCAAAAGCGACCCTAAGTCGCTAATTACTTAGCCTCCTTTGTCCTCACCGCTGCACAATTGAAGATCCGGAGCGTCTTCTGTGTCACGCCCCGGACCTACCGGACACGTCAACAACCCGCCGTACAGTACGAATAGTCAACCGCAGTCCAACTCATCCATACTATACTAGGCGTCTTGAATACCATTCACACATAGTACATCCATAAACAAACATAATGTAAAATATTCATTTAAAGCAGCGGAAACATTAATACACGTATTCAAGCCACACGTGGCAAACATGGGCATACAAGCCCCCAAATAGTATTCAAAATAATTTCCATGAGCATTATTGTAATTGTTTAAAACAGAAACGGAAGAAGCACGAACCACGTCCTCCTCCTTTGATCTTCCCGAAGCAACGGGCGTGGTAGCAACCTTCAAGTCCTACCTGAAACTGTGAGGTGGCCTCCCCCGTGAAGGGGAGGTCAGTACTTGGAAGCATTTGACAAGTACAATGACAACTATACTAAGTATAATCAACGTTTCAATTTCCAAGACCCTCAATTAGGGTGATATTACAATATAGGTCATAACTCGTGGTTACCCTCTTTACAAATATACTTACTTTATATATAAAGTCAAGTAATCGGCCGAAGGCTCATGTTTACTTTGAAAACATTTAACCCTTCCCCCGTGACTTCAAGCCACACCCATCTATATCAGTTTACCATGCTAGAGGCTTCCTCTAGTCATGTTCTGTCGTGCTAGAGGCTGACTCTAGTGATATTCATGTAAATTCCGATTGTATATTTGTATTTTTAACTAGTTTTTATTAGTTCTAGTTGTGGAAATTACACACTTTTGGTGTAACACTTTATTTTCATTTTTATTTGTAATTTGGTTAGATTAGGATTTTTCTGAGCTAAACAGGTCAAAGATCATCCAAAGGATCAAGATTGGACCTTAAAAGATCAAGGAAAGTGGAAGGAAGATGCAAAAATCTCAAGACAAATAAAGATCCTGATTTTTTATGTTGTACCCGGTCGGGTATGACCTATACCCGGTCGGGTACCCTTCTAAAAAATCAAATCGGATCAAATCCGGGAACAAGGCATCATGCGGGAAGATTTTTAACCACGTTCGGGTGTCATACCCGATCGGGTGACCGACATACCCGATCGGGTATGCCCCAATTTTCTGGCTTCCGGGAAGCTCTCTAAGTACCCGATCGAGTGGCCTTGAAGCCCGATCGGGTACACAGCCCTGCAGCTCCCAAAAGCCTATAAATACACCCCATTTCCTTCCCATAAAATGACCAATTCATATATACTCTTTAGCTCAGTTTAGATTAGTGTTTTCTTTATATTTTCTATCATGTTTAGTCTCCAAATGAGGAGCTAAACTCTTCCATCTTGGTTTTGCTACTTTGAAGCTTAATGAATTTGTAAGTTGTGAGTTATCTTCTTTAATCTTCTTCCTTGAATATTAATTCTTCCTTTAAATACTATTTCTATATCAATGTTGGGGAGTGTTACTAAGATGACAATTAGTTAACATCTTGACATTAGTTATAGTAATAGCTA